CAAGTCTTTCCTTCAAGGGTCAGCTTTCACCTTTGTACCCATGTATAATTCCATCCTGGGCCAACAAATCCTTAATCAAATCATTCTCTCCTTGCCGGGATGTACCATGTCATCGTCCTGTGCCCCCATGACCGTACCATGGGTTGCCTCAGGTATACCCAACTTCTGCATTTTTCACACCTGATGTAAAACTTCCTTCTTGAAGCGCTAGCAATTCCACTCCCTTAAGGTTAATCTCACCATTCCTCACCTGTCGGGTGGGTGTATGGACCCTCCAAACATACTACAACCAACACAGTTGACCAATCACTATTTTTTTTTCGATGTAGCTTCCTAGATTCACCCATAGTGACAGTATCAGGTGCTTGACCATGCACCAAAGTCTGAGGTTCCTTCAATTGATCTTCAACAGTGTGTTGAACATTCTGCATGGTCTCAATCATTGTTGCCAATATTAAATGAAAGTCATCTTTTTTTTCAAACATACAACAACCACAATATAAAAGTTTGCTTATATAACATTTCGACCAAATATGTATTTTATTCCACGTTTATCACTGCCCGCTTCATGAATACTTCCTTTTTACTAGTACATACTATTATTGTGCTTGGTTTAAATACACTGCAATTAATTTATCTGTTATACAAGAAAACTACATCAGAAATGCGAAAAGTCCATCTTACAACAAGACGCAAACTGGGCCGAAAAATGTTAATCGTTAATATTACCAATTTAATTTTAAATACACTATGATAGATCAAGTAGAACGACAACCATACTACGTTGCAAAATCCTGATGCCGCAAGGAAACTATTGTAATTTTCGACTATTATTTCTTGGTTACCAGTACAAAAATATAAGTCGGCTTAATCTATTTTAAAATTGAATTGAAGCAATTCACTGAATATATAGATCTAAAAATAAGTGACGTTGAAACTGAAATCATTCGATCGTGGGCGCAAGAATATAACGTTCGCTACCGTTTTTGCGGTTAACCATACATGAGTTTATAATATAAACACAACATAGAGTATAGTAGTAACACTCGTTTTCCTAATAAAACTAGGAAAAACATTTCGCAATTTCAAAGAATATTTTATACCCTTTCACATTGTTTTTATTATATTAATAAGAAAAGAAAAATATGCAATATATATATAATGTGAGTAAACAGTGGAAATGTGTAAATGAAACTTTCCTGCTTTCATCTACGTAAATGTTTAGTTGATAGTAACATCACAGTTAGATACATTTACTGTTGAGTTGTGGACTATTACTCCAATAACATCACTATTAATATTATCAAGCTGGGTATGAGACAGTGTGTTCAAGACTCAATCATGTTGGGGGTTACTTGGGTAACTGGTTTGATGTTTTCAATTGCCTCAGTGTCGGAATGGGTGTTTTTTTGTAGAAGCTATTGATGAATTTGTTACTGGATTTATTACTTAACTTGTAATAATACGTCCGGATTAATGTGGACAGTCAGATAAAAATTATGATTAATACAAGGTACACGGATACTCACGTGGAACAGCATAAATTTGTCTTTCGCCAACTATATCACACA